ATCATGTTGTCCCAATGAGACTTGAACCTCATACTCATCACTTCAAACGTAAAGGTGTTATCCACTAGGCTGCTGGGGTACTACAGCCACCTCTTGTACAAGGGGTATTAGTTATTACTACTTTTGTCTGTTAGCGACAACCAAATAGATTACCATGATTAACATTCTAAGCAACATTAAGGCATCCGCATAGGACCCCATATACCAATACAGGTAGGACATTTCGACTTAGTAAAATATTTTGTCTACTGTTATATACTACTGGTAGGTTTCTAGTTTTCCGTTTTTCTTCAAGATTAGAAATGCAACTAATCATGGAATTTCCTTAGTGTCATACGTTTTCAATACCAAGACATTATCACAAATTCCTGTACTTGTTTTGTTCATGTGCAGAAAAAGTTAAACTGACGTTGAAATGTACATATTTAGATAACTTACAAGAGACTGAACACTAAATAAAACGGTTATGGAATGAGGTCACAATATCAGATGTGAGTGATAAATCTTACTGTAGTGTTGCAATGGTTTACTGAAAATCAGTATGTAAACATAAGTGCTGATCGATGTTGAACTATAATTCAGCGGATGAGGTAGTCTACATGAAACTATTCATCTACTGTGTAGTAATGATGGGTAGCGGCCAGCAGTGGAATTCAGGATGCGCACTTTGTCCTATTTCGAACTCATCAGCTGGATGTACCTGCCTCCCAGTGCGGAGTGATGTTATTCCCACCGGGCTTCGGACTTGGGAGCGATCGCTTCAAACACGAGAACGTTATCCACTACATCACCGAGCCATGATAATCACGTTTTGTGCGACGGGTATAGTTGAGTGTTATTGCTTGTATTACACCATCGATGATTGGACAAATTGATCAGTCGCTGTTGGCATATAGGCTCCTGTCCAATCAACGACGGTGTAATACAAACAATAACACTCAAACTATACCCGTCGCACAAAACGTGATTATCATGGCTCGGTGATGTAGTGGATAACGTTCTCGTGTTTGAAGCGATCGCTCCCAAATCCGAAGCCCGGTGGGAATAACATCACTCCGCACTGGGAGGCAGGTACATCCAGCTGATGAGTCCGAAATAGGACAAAGTGCGCATCCTGAATTCCACTGCTGGCCACTACCCATCATTACTATACATAATTGAAACAGGCATATTGAGGCATCCGTACAGCAGCCTATATGCCAACAGAGACTAATCAATTCGGTCCAATCAACGATGGTGTAATACAATCAATATCACTATTCATTTACTGGTTTGAATATATTTTGCCTTATCAATAGTCTATCAGTTATATGAAGTTTTGAATACATCGGTTAAACAGTTTTTGAAGAAAACGTGACATAAAATGTACTTTGTTTGCTTGGTTTGGAAAAGGCAAAACCAAAGCAGTGAAATGTTCTGTCTTAGTATGCATGATTGACATATAGCATCACATAGATGTCACTAAAGATATAAATGTCATACACAGTTTACGGGGATCACTTACAACTACTGGGTCATGGATTTCAATTCCACTTCACCTGTCGAGGTTTTGACAGACAACTGATACTACTACCTATTCACACAATAGGTATAGCTCGCTGCCTACTGCATGAATGTGCATAAGATTACTGAATATACTTCAATTTGAATTCCACTATGCCCCCGCTTGTCAACATCTCAACATAGTTATGGTGATAAAACTGATTGAATTTAAACTTTGTGTTCAGAAGAATCAAATTCAAGCGTTACTTCTTTCTCAACCTTCAATAAAAATGATTTTCATCTGAATGGTTCATTGTCTCTTCTCACTTTTTCTTCTTTTATTTCCTAAAGTATCATAGTCTTGACCTCTGTGTAAGTCACCCTAATAATTACAAATTGAAAAGAAAACTCGATATCCTTACAACCCTTAATTCATAATACATTTTACAACTTAACATTCATTAGTATAATAGACGCTTACGTAGTGGAATAAGGCCTGGAATTAAAAGTTTTTCGTTCATATATCAGTTATCAGTGATACAGATTCAAAGGCAATTCATGAAATATAACGAGTCTTAAACATTTGCGGATGCCAAATACTTTTTACAATATTCATTCCATCTAACAGTTAAAGTTTATTTACTTGCCAGAATTTAATCAGTTCATACCTGGAACAATCTTATTAGTATTATTATTTGTCCCTTGGGTTCCTAATGGAACATAAGGCTTCAGTAGAACGTCTCCATTCCACTCTCTTCTCTCCAGTCTTTACAACCTGGCTCCATAACAGCCCACAAGCTCTCATTTCTTCCTTACACCATCTCCTCCATGTTGTGCTCGCCTCGGAAGCCCAAATCACCGTTTCCCATCTAGGTTCCACTCGACGACCTGGACTGGCACGTGATGTCCCCAAATGGTATTCTTAGTGCATGCCCAATCCATTTCCACTTCTTTCTGCATATTTGTTGGGAGATAAGTTCTTGGTTGGTTCGTTCCCGGAGTTCCTTGCCGCTTATTCTTACCACTCTGGCCATTTGAGCATCAGTAACGAGCCAGCGTAGGCAGTTGTTGATGAATGTCTGTGGTTTATTGGAAATGCTTTTCGTAACGCATCAAGTGTCTGAACCATCATAGAAGCACTGAGTTGAAGTTGGTGTTGAAAATCCGAATCTTGTTCCACATGCCGAGTGCAGAAGATCTTCACGGGTTAATGAACACCTGTCTTGCTTTTCTGATTCTGGCTTTGACATCCTCGTCTGTGCAGCCTGTAGTTGTGACAGAGCTGCCTAAATAGTGGAAGAGACTATTTCCTTTAAGTTTCTCCCGTTGGTGTTGATTGGAGCTTGTTGTTGTTGGTGGTGGCGCAGGTAGGGTATCTTAATCACCTGTGTCTTCTCTACGTTCACTAGAAGTACCATCTTCTCTGCCCTGTCTCTTCTATCAACTTGTCAGTTTTCGCCTGTAGATCTTCGAGTTCGTGTGACATTAGACACAAGTCGTTGGCGAAATCCAAATCTTCTTCTCGGGTCTTTCATCGGTCCAGTGTATGCCCCTCTTCTCGCTCCTCACAGTTTGTTGCATGATCCCGTCCACCACAATCAGAAAGATCATAGGTGATAGTAGATACCCTTGTCTTACTCCTATCTTCATATCAAAGGCGCAACTGAGCTGTCCATTGTGAACTACTTGGCATGTGGCGTCTTCACATAGTTGTTGAATGAGGTTGATTAAGGTTTATGGCACTAAAAGCATAGTGCTGAAGCAGTTGGCAAATTACTTGTTGATCGACGCTGTCGAAAGCCCCTTCAAAGTCGATGAAGTTGAGGTAGAGAGCTGGGTTGACTGCCATTCTATACTCTCTTCTATGATGATGCATAGCGTAGTGTTGTAGTTTGATCCGCATATGATTTTTACTTTCTGAATCCAGTCAGCCAGCCTGTTCTAGTCGTAGTTTTGAATCCAACCCATCTTCTAGTCTCTCCAGGATGATATGGCTTAATACTTTGTTTGCTTTGAGTGGACAGCAACACTCATCCTGTCAGTTCTTGCAAAAACTTAGGTCGCCCTTCATCGGAGTTTGACAAGGTATCCCTGCTTCCAATCGCCAGGCTGCAACAATCTTGATGATACTTAATTTCTTTATTTTAAATGACAATCATTTTCCTTCCAAGTATTACAAGTAACATGAACCGATAAATCACATTTCAATGAAGCATACGACTATCTCTTTTTATTTAGAAGATTATAGTGGAGAGATTTTTAGCATTTCAGAATAGTTAGTGTCTAAAGGTAATAGGGAAGAGGCTAAAAGTGTCTGTTCAACTATCGTATGGTAACTTTTAATTTGACGAAGTTATACGTTTTCATCTCAAGATAAAACAGATGCTACAAACACTCATATAGCTTAGTGTAAAGTCACCGGTTCCCTTAGATACATGAATAGGAAATTCGAAAGGTAACGTCTTAACTGAGGTGCCATATTTCTTTATATGATATAGTGTACAGTTGTACAATATTATTTACTAGATGACGTTTCGAGCAGTATTTATTGCTCATACGCATATCTCGATTTTAATAATAGTCAAATTTTCCATATATCTGCAATGTATGACAAAGGAATTCCTATTTCGTGTGTTAGGTGTTGGTTAGGGTGATCTATCTTCCCCCCCCCCACCTACTTATATTTGATTTTAGAATGGTCAGCTTATCCCAACCACCGTATAGCGTGAATATCAGTCAGAATACGTGCAGCGATTGCCGAGTTTTTCTCTAAACTAATTATCCTAGTAGGATCTACCATGATATATTTCAGTAAGATTATGCGCGCCGCTATTTTGTCTGAAACAAATCACCTATTTTGACCTAAATACTTGACTTCACAATCATTACATGGTACTGGTTTGTTGAATTAGGTCTACTGGACCTTTCGGCTGGCAAAATTCTTCTCTGAATGAGTTCGCGGATTGAAATACCAGCGTTGTTAAGAGTTCTACGGACAATTTCCTACCTGCCTTCTTCATGCAGCGACATTACAGAAGATTTGAATTCCTTCTTTGACACGTTGCGATCGTCACTAACACTACCATTCCTTCTCTTATCGGTTCCCTTAAACTTATTAATAAACTTCAGAGGGTAGTTATTGGAAAGTACTGGTCCTTTGATGTATTTCAGTTCCTTTTCAGGTTTTCTGACTTACTAGTCAAACTCCTAACCCATTTCTTCAGACACTTTATCTAGGCTACCCTGAGAGATATATGGTGAGATGATATGAAATCCAAGTATCTAGTTGGATGCATTAGGTCCCTATAAACACTCGTATCTAAGCTTCCATCTCTCTCCTCTTGTTTTGCATTCCAGTATAGATAATTCTCCTTCTTCATTTTCTACTACCCAGCTAGCGTGTGAAAAGCTGTAGATTTGTTATGATTTCAGTACAGTTAATGTATCATCTACGTATCGCCACCAAACTTTTGGACTAGGTTGGGATACATGCACACACACACACACTGTTCATTGGTTCTTAACTAGTTTCTTCACCATTTAAGATCTTCATAGAAGAATATATTTACTATACTCGAAGGCATTGGTATCATTACTTTTCTGACTTGTTCAACCTATTTTTCTGGTACTAAGATTATTTCTCTTCATTAAGTTGTAGGCATTGAAGATGATGTTTGCAAAGTTGGAGAATACACCCTCAGGGCAAAATCCAAGTCTTAATGTTTTCACTGTATTGGCTGGCACGGTAATTTACGACTTTTCAAATATGCAAATTATCTAGGATAAGGTTATGTTTACTGTAATTCAGTCATAATTAAGGATTTAGTATTTATTACCAACTGTCCAGTATGAACGAGTTTCACGGCTTCCTAAGTACAGATACTTATACATATCTAACTAATGTACAGAGATGTAATATTTAGGCTAAAACGGTTTTCATCTTACCTTCTGGCCCTGTAGAAATAAGGCCATATTAAACTGTGAAATTTCACATAACACTTTCGTGCAATAGTAAACGTATACAACGCAGATGAAGTAAATACGATTTTAACTGGGACAGGACTTGTGCATTGTGAACGGAAAGTTGAGTAAAAACTAGTGAAAGAAACGAGAAAACTGAGATGTAGGAAGGAATGTTTATTGCTGACATCTGGTACAGTAGTCATCAAATATGGTACACCTTCCACTAAGACAGTCATTTGTATAATGTTCTTCATTTCCTTTTCTGATTCTATCTCGATTTGCTCCTAATATGCTCACATTGTCTCTTGCTTTTCGCTGTGTAGAATCTTTACCCAATTGCTGGTAACTGCCTATGATTTCTGCCTCCCTCTCAACATATACCACTTATATCCATTCTGATCACCAACGCCCACTACACTAGCATAAAAATAGGAGCGTATCAACAGCTGAATCTCAAAGCTTAGACAGTGAACTAATTGGCATACAACTCAGAGCTGTTGGTTTGAATCACTTATCAGTTCAAGCTTCCAATGAACTTCATCTTTTCACCCATCTACACTGAAATATCTATCCAGTGAACGAAATACCATCTCAGATCGTTTCATAAAATTTAGTCTTCTATAGCTAAAATTTTAATCCTTTTGACATTTTTTAAGAATGAAACTTACCCTTTTGGTCATCTAAGATGCAGAAAGCAAAGTAGAGATTACATAGAACTTTTAATGAGACTCTTAAAACTGAGAAAAATGTTTGAAAGCCGTAAAACATGTTTTTAGCCTCTTCTACACAGTCCTTTCGTTTTCCATAACATTTCCGTATTTTGATACCGTTATACATTAGCGGTTAACGTTTTTTGTAAAGAAGTCGTTTAAAAACAATATTTTTCTGAAGGGTTTTTACAAAGGTTTATTGATCTCAGGTTGGTATTCATCATGAACTGACATCAGCTGGAGAGACACTAGAAACCTGAGAGCACTAGAGAGCTCTTTCGTCCAGAAAGGGACTCTTCAGCAGTTCGAACCCATGACCCCACCCACCAGGGGTCAGACTCAGGACTTCTAGGTTCCGCAGCCAGCACCCCATGGGTGCTCGCTGTTGAGGATACCATACTAGGATGAAACAGTTGTCCAGTCCCCTAAGGTTTCCAGTGTTTCTTCAACAGATGTTAGTGATGCCCATGATGTATACCAATCTGAAATCAATAAGTCCCCACAATACCCCCAACTGAATTTACTGCTTGTTGGTGACTGGATTCGCAGGTGATTCCCGAAGTTGCGATAAGAAATAGTGAACAGTGGAGCAAACCGATTGAATGTGAGAACAAAGGCTCAACGATGACATTGGCTAATGGTTGCACAATATAGTGAACCGACAAAATTAGGATTCAACCGAATCCGGTGGCTAAGTGGTAACGTGCTGTTGACGGAACCTGAATGTCCTGGGTCCGACCCCGACGAGTGGGGTCGTGGTTGTGTACTGCCGATAGGTCCCAAACTAAGACAAACTAGTTGTTCAGTCCTCCCACCTTTCAAACGTTCCTCCAACTGGTGTCACTCTATGACAGATACCAAAAATTATTTGCCTGCATTCAGATTATTATTGCAACTTGGGAAATGCATACAGATCTTCCCTTCCACGAACTTGAAGGTAAGAAGAAGAACAACATCAACAGAATTGGCATGCATGCATCTCGTGGGTACTCCTCAGATGCTTTACAACCTGTAGAACATGAGGTTTATGACAAAACACACGTTAAATAACGTACTTTTATAAATCGACAAGAATATTTTAATTGAATTTGTCCACATTTGTAAAGATATCCGAAAGAATTTGAGCCTAATGGGTTCATAGTGTCTAAATAGCTTGATTCCTCAACATCTAATTGGTATATTCAACATTTTTAAGTTATTCAAAGTGGTCAATAAACAAATGAAACGTATCAACGTCTTGCACGGTGCTAATTAAACACTCAAATCTCATCTATGCATTCCTAAAGATAGTGACGTCAGTGTTACTTTACCTTGGTAATTTTAATCTCCTATAATTATAAACACAAATTCATGACCTTATGACTATCTAATGTTTTGATTGTTTATTTCAAAACTTGTTCTAACTTTCTGAATTGCTTTCGTCTTGTTACTTAATACTCAATTGTTAGGATTATTTAACTGTGGTGTTATTCTCATGAATTCTAGAGCAACATTGTACACAATTCCCTCTCACTTACTACACATATCTTTACTATGCTTAATATAAGTGTAAAACCTGGGCATTGTATTGGAAATTAATTCCATATTGGATTCGATGTTATTGCTTGTATTACACCATCGTTGATTGGACCGAATTGATCAGTCTCTGTTGGCATATGGGCCCCTGTACGGATGCCTCGATATGGCCTGTGTTTCAATTATGTATAGTAATGATGGGTATTGGCTAGCGGTGGGATCCAGGATGAGCATTTCTTCCTAATACAAGCAATAACACTAAAACTATACTCCTCACACAAGAAGTGACTATCATGGCTCGGTGATGTAGTGGATAACGTTCTCGCGTTTGAAGCGATCGCTCCAAATCCGAATCCCGGTGGGAACAACATCACTCCGCACTGGGAGGCAGGTACATCCAGCTGATGAGTCTCGAATAGGAAGAAATGCGCATCATGGATTCCACTGCTAGCCACTGCCCATCATTACTAAACCATATTAGATTTGTTCATTTGATTTATAACACACAGTGAGCCATACAGTACTATTTTCTTGATGACACTTCGAGCATAAATTATTACTTCTCATAATCATACCAGTGAAATCACACTAATTTCGATATTTGATTTTTATAGTTATGTCAATTTATATGAGTTGCTTTTATTGGCAGCAAAATTTTCCATATCTCTGGTATAGGTATTGCGTCATTTCTATTACACGGATTGCGTATTGATTCGATGAACAAAGATTCAGTAATCAAGCAGTTAAACTAATCTCTCTCCATCTAATTATACTGTACAGTACAGTACAGTGGCTTTATCCCACCTACCCTATTGTGTGGTTGTGTATTAATGCATCCATTGCAATAACAGAGTGATTTTCTAGATAATTGATCTCATTCGGGTCTGTCATTCTGTATGTTCGGCAATTCTAACCAACCCCAGCCGACTAGTTTGACCTATGTACTTCACCCAACTCACAGTCACTACAGGCAATTTGATACATTAGATGATTTTGCTCAATTGGTTCTATCGCATCCTTAAGCCAGCCGACAAAACTTATCTGTGAGTGAGTTTTTAGGTTTAAATGCCACCCTAATTCTAGCTCTGTTGAGGATCCTACGTAAAGTTTCTGATGTACCTTCCTTATAGGGTTCTTGCACTTCAAGGACCTAAACAAGGAACTGAAGCATATAAAAGAAGTATTAATAGTTAATAACTATCCTCTACAGTTTATTAAAACGTTCGTTCGAACACACAAGAAAAGAAATTAATAACAGTAACACGAGTACGAATAATAACGACTACATGAGTAGGAAGGCGTTTAGAGCATCCATTGTGTTATCCTATAAGACAGGTACATCAGAAAGGATCCTCATCAAGGTGGGAATTAGGGTGGCATCTAGACCTAAAAACTCACTTAGAGAGAAGCATTGTCTCCTGACTCAGGAATCCGATAGAACACATTAAACAAAATAAGCTAATCCATCAAATTTCATGTCATCACTGTGAGTGAGGTGAAGTACATAGGTGAAACAAGTCGGTGGGGTCAGTTGGAATAGTGGACCATAGGACTTCGTGGTAGAGCATCGGGCCGGAAACTCTATGCTCGATGGTTCGAACCCAGCTACGGTCTAAATTTCCATTTCATCTTCAATCATCACGCAGTATAAATACTAATCTGCCAAACTACATCTATCTCAGATAGTCAAGTGATAATCAATATGATGCTTCCCTTCCCACCCTCTCTAACTCACTCAGATTGGACTGGGATGAGAAGTCGTCACTAGGCAGCCAGTGTGAATACGACCGAGCGGTAGTAACGCGTCACGAATTCATATGATAGTCGGGAAAAAACCTTCGGTGACTGAAGTGAAATAAAAATCTGGTCACCAGTCGGACCTTGTAGCTCAGTTGGTAGAGCCGGGCCAGATACTCGGTGGTCTGTGGTTCGAATCCGGCCGCGGTCCAAATTTCCATCGCACCTTCATTAACCACCCAATATAAATCAGTAAGCAGAAAATTCGTTAGTAATATTCACTACGATATTTCAACCACCTCATCCATTTCATTGTACTTATAAAATAACTGAATAACTATAATGTCACCTGTGACCTTCTTGTCTGATATTTTTGATCAAGGCGAATATGAATATATACACACACGCATATACGCCATACAACACGAGACATACAATTTCAGACTGAATGATTAGTTTAGAAGTAGTATTCATCATGGACTGATATCAGTTGGGGAACCACTGAGAGTCTGGGAGCAATCGACACCTGTTTCGTCCTGTATGGGACTCCTCAGTAGTACGTACCCATGACCCGCTTAGGATCGAACTCAGGACCTTCAGGTTTCACGGCGAACGCGTTAACCATTCAGCCACTGGGTCGGTTTCTAGTGATTCACAATTTCCAACTTCTGTCAATTCATGACATAGCGTGACCCAAGGTCTTCAGTAAGCATCCACTTCACTTCCGACTGGTTGATCCCATAGGTCATGGCTTCTCATTAGAGCTTCCTGATATCCATCTGGAAACAAGTCAGTCCATGATGAATACTACTTTTAAGTTAAAAATCCCCATTCATCTCAAAAATACATTACTGTATAGTGCTCATTAGTGGGTGCGTACTGCAGAGGAGTCCCATAGTGGGACGAAACAGGTTCCAGTGCTCCCAGATTCTCAATGGTTCCCTAACTGTTGTCAATCAATGATGAATACTACTTTTAGATTAAAAATCCCCATTCATCCAAAAATAGATTACTGAATGATTATTTATACGAAGAGGATTGGATAAGGAGATTAAATACACGTTTTTCCATTAATTTGCATATATCCTTGATGTTTTAATTTTGATCATTTTCCTGAAGAAGTTCGGACCTAACTTCCATGTGAAACATTGGAATAAGTTGACTTCGAACACTCTGTGACCTACACAAATATGTAATCTATATTTTAATGTCGACCTTTTACTCAGCACCAAATATTTGCCATACTATTCGGTTACATCTTGATCATAGATTATGTAAATGAAATGTGATTGCATAAACAAACCACTAAACAAAACGTAGTTATTATTGAGTAAAAAGGAAGTTTAAGAATGATTATTAAAATTTCACTATTTCGTGTAGTGTTATTCATTGTCTAGAGTAAATAACTGAATCCCCGTTCCGTTTTTACTGTGGACATCAAAATTAGATAGACATTGGTTAACCCATTGTTTCAATCTACCTAAGATAACTGTACTTGAAAAATAAGCTATCATACTTATCAGTTATCCGTAATTTTAACAATTCTGTGAATTGTGATAATTATTATTTGTCCCTTGGGTTCCTAGTGGAACATAAGGCTTCAGTAGAACGTCTCCATTCCACTCTCTTCTCTCCAATCTTTTCAACCTGGCTCCACAACAGCCCACAAGCTTTCATTTATTCCTCACACAACCTCCTCTATATCACCCTCAGCTGAGACGCCCAACTCATCTTTTCCCATTTGGCTTCCACTCAAGTGCTTGGCACGTGATGTC